TCATCCCGGAAAGTGTATCTGTGATACAGTGTAAGCTTCTAAAAAAGAAGGATGTCGCTTTTGCTGACTGGAGGTATATTAGGCAATTCATTTACTATTTCCCTAAAATATGCAGTTTTCATGATCTATGTAATGAGCTAAATCCTCAGCTTAAAAACCCCAGTGTTTTTGTATCATCAGCACTACCTAGAACTGACACTAAACCGGTGGCAATGAGGCCCACAGCACTCCCAACTGCCTACCTCCTCTGATGGTCATCTGACTTGTTGATGCTTTTTTTCTTCCTACCTGAAAAGGCTACTACATTACCCTTAGCATGAGCAAGGTCACATCCTGGTATACGCAAATGAGTCTAATATCCAGACCCTAATACTAGGCTTAGGATGATTATACCTTAATACAGCTCTGTGAAGAAACCTGGAGAGGTTTAAGCTATTTCAAACTACCATATACTCCATAATATATCCATAAACTCAATCAGACTTTTTTTCCCCAGCATAAAATATATAAGCTTACCTGAATTAGAATTTTATTTCAAACCGCTGTCATAACAATTAGTATTTTGCACTCTCCTGTTCTCTCTGCCCGCTTAATCACAATATTATTTTTTACCCACATAGTCAGAACTTGGATAACTGTGAAGCACTGCACAAATTCAATATTTCCAAAGATGTTTCAGGCTGTTGGCTTTCCCCCCGCTGCTGCATAACAAGCATCTAATACATTGTTTTAATTTATTTGAAAATATTATTTGCATTTGTGCTGCCACAGCTAGAATCACTTCTAGCAGCCAGCCTGGTGAGTTCCACAGCCAGCAAGAGATTCGCTGCACTACACCGCGCTTTGCAGTGGAAATACAGATGCTCTTCATGTTCAAACCTGTCCTTATATAATAGGCTTTTGTGTTGCTGGAAAATTCTTTATGCATGGGTGAGGCAAATGGCTTTCTTATGCGAATGCAGAACACATAGCACCCAGGAGTAAAATTCACATTGATTCCAATGGTACAGACTCAACCCTATCAATGGTCATCTTTGTTGAGCTAGTTAAGTATCACAGAGACAGAGAATATGGCCTTTTTCTATGTCTTTTATGTGTATACTAATCAAATATTATAAACAAAAGTAACCTCAAAGGTTTATTCTGCAAAATATTGTTTTTACTATTTCTATCCAGTAACTCTTCACAACCCCCTTCCTTATAGGGGGTACCAGTAGAACACAGCAGTATTGCTTCAACACTCAAAAAAAGGTCTTTCAGCGAGTTGAGTTTTCTGTTGGTTTGTCTAAGGCTTTCTTACCCCCCTGCCCCCTAGCAGGGATAGCAACTAGCTTGTCACTTAGGGAAAAAAAAAACTTGTAAAGCAAAATTGTGTTTGTGCTCTCTTAACCTTAAAAAAGAAAAGAAAAAAAAAAAAAGCACAGGGGGGAAAAAAGAGCATTTTCTTATGCTGCTCAGTATATGCCTTCCCTATAGCTTGAGATCCAAATCATGCTAACAAAAAGAAAATAGAATAAAAATATAGAGAATGGAAAACATTAGGATGCAGGACACTATCTCGTACTTTGCTTCGCTCCGTGCTGCGTGACAAGAACTGTCAGCAGGCTGATCAGGCTCACGGTGGAAAAGTACTGTCTGCTTCAGGCAAGGAAAGCAGGATTCCCCGGCCCCATGGGGGTCTCATGGTTGCCACCTAGAATTTACCTAATGTTTAGGATTTGCTTTGCAACTCGGATTTGCCACTGGTTTTATGCATGTACATGTGTGTGGGAGGAAGGAGGACATATGTGTCTCTTACAGCAGATTCACATTGAGCACAAACTTCAGGCTGTTCCTGCAGGCGTTACCAAAACGTGCAACCTGTCGCAGAAGAAAGCTTCCTTAAAATTTAAAAGCCTTAGAAGGGCAATATGTACTTGTGTTGAAAGCAGCGATAAAGAAGATGATCTACATTCCTATTTTATCAGCTGTGTTGGCAATACAGAAGTGAAACAGGTCAGGTTTAGGGTGCAATTGAGCACATTTTTACATTACTTTCCTTCAGGGAGATCCATAGGCCAGTCTTAGGACACTTGAGCCAGACGTGTTATTGAGATATGTGTGGCAGGACTTAGGTTCCTGCCAGCTTCATAAATTCAGCATTCTTGTGGATAGTGGAAACATTTGAAATTTGTCATTTTATTATTGAAAAAAACCCACCCAAACAAATGAAACCACCAAAGATCTCTATTGTATAAGCCCAACCAGTGCCTATCCCTAGATTTATCATCTGAGCCTTAGATCAGCCCATTTCTCTTCCTTAATTAGAGCAGCTCAAGCAGGACTGCGAATGTTGAATGCTGGGCAACGTTATACAACAGTGGTTCAAAGTTGTATGCGTACTGCTTACAAGTATCCACACAGAAATTAGTTAATAGAATAAAGTAGCAAGTGCAACAAATACCTTTTTATGATAATACATATTTTAAATACTTCATTCTTAAACACTGCATATATTTTTTTTTTTAAAAAGTCCAAGCTAGCATGTTGTGCTGCACTTCAGGCAAAGGGAATGTGAACTGCGTACGCATCTGCACTGAAGTGGAGGAAGGAAGGGGAGAAACTTGTCTCTGTCCTCTATTAATCTTTACATTTCTGTGTTAAACAGTTATGGGATACAATACAGTAAAATGGCCAGGAAACTAGCTATCTGTCTTAAAGAAGGAGCAGAGGATAGGTAATTTTTGGGAAGTGCTCTAAAACTGGAAAATTATGGGAGGCTCAGGTTTACTGATAACACATGCAAAGGCTTGTAGACAAAGAATATCTCCCACTGAAATGTTCCTTTACAGTTTCAATACTGATACAGTTATAATTTAAACACACAATTAATTGTGGTTTATGTTAATAACATGAATAATATTTACTTTGCTAACAAAGTATGCAAAGCCTTACTTGTACGTGCCTGTCACAAGACTAACAGGTGACCAAGGATTCTCATTACGACGTGTCTGAAGTAGTGGAGTGACTTCCAACCCCCAGCCTTTAAATGGCAGGACTGGGGCTGCCTCTCTTGTCTTTCCTGAGTGCGTGTGTGCACAGAGCACTGAAATGTAAGCTCACACAGTACTTACCAACCACCTGCGCTCCTGCTCAGGTGCTAGGCGCGGTAGCGAGCGGCTCCATGCTGCCTTTGCTTTTCCCCAGGAAGCGCCAACCTGCGTCTCTATTCCTGCAATGTCCATATCAGACATATTCTTAATATAAAGATCAGGTATACAAACACGCATTGCTTTGTTACTTCTACTGTGTGCTGTTTAGACTTCTGCTGTGTACTGTTTTAAATATAAGATTCCTATAGGGAATTCTTAGAAACCTTTATAATGCCGTACATCCTTTAGTTAATTGAAGTCGGTTAGCAGGCTTTTTAAGACTAATCACTGCTGTGTACTTGACAAATATATCAGGATACTGTAGTCACAGAGCAAAGTTGATATTGTCATTCATTATTTTATTACTTTACATTAGAGAAATTGTTCCATTGAAATCAGAGTTCTATCTGTCTTAAAAAAAAAAAAAGGTCATTTGCATCTCTTTCTGGGAAAGGCAGGATTGGATTAATGTCATCAAACACTTAGAAACTCTTCCACTCAGAGGCTATAATTCAATGTAAGATAATTTACACAGTAAGAGACAACTTACTTACTTATAAAGACTCTGGAACAGAAGTGGCCGGAACATTTCACCCATTTGCAAATGCCTACTTCTGCAACTAGCCTCTTGAAGGGGATCTACATACGCTAATTTAGACGTGGTAACTACTCAAAATCATTGTCTTTCTTTGGGCTGTTCTGTTTTTTCTAATGTGCTGAGAATGCTATGAGCCAGAAGAAAATACACAAATGAAATGTCACATTTTACAGGGACGCAAGCATTTATAGGAAGAATAAACTCCTTATGACTAGAGAAGTATGGTGTATGTGCATGACATATACACAGCTATCTAACACAAAAAGGGAAGATGAATAACACTGTAAAAACACCTTACATTAAAAATAAACATGGTCTTTAGATGCTCACAAGGCAGTGTGTTTTGTCATAAAATTGAAAAACAACCAACTTGACTCTGTATTGATCCAAATACTGTAAGTGAAGAGAACTTGTGTTGACATCAGACCAGTATTTGGTAGAGCATAAATTGCCAAAATCATATTTAAATAACTCTGCATTTGTTGTTGCTCATGAAGAGGTCCAGGTTTTCCTCTGTGAAGAGAAACCTCCAGTTCAGGCCTGATTTTATTTTCCATTTGCATAGGAACGGGATAGTTGCTCGTCAGCATCGCAGAGCACTGCATGATTCAGCACGATTTCTTCCTAAGGGAGCGGCTGACAAAAGCTGGATGAATAGAGGCGTTTTCACATACCCTGGCAGAAACCTGCAAAAATCTTGGCTGAACTCTCTAGGGCTGGCAAGGGCCATTAATCTCTCACTTACATGAGCACTAAAGCCCTATTAATGAGTGCTTTTTTTTTTTGCACTCATACACACAGTAGCACTTCCAAGCACTTTGGCACTGGAATTTTGTATTATTTGGAGGGGGGAGGTCAAGTGCCCCTACAATCAAACCTCGGGGTATTCCTCTGCTATTTTAATTCAAACTTTTGTAAGTGTTACAACAGATTTATTTTTATTATTATTATTATTATTATTATTTATTTTTATTATATGACCAAGACATAAGCATGCTGCTGCAGCTCTTTATTGCTACATCTCTCTCACCCATTAAAGTGTAAATCTCCTTGAATGATATCAAAGCTGTTTTTCAGATGGTACATGGAGACTAAAATTACAAAGTGCTGCACAGGAGTCCTCTCCCTGTCCTGCTTCTCCATCTCCACATACTGGATACACAGTGTCATGCCAGTGTTCACTATTTCCCAGTTCAAAGCACCAGTTTCATTGCCCTCTAACAGCAGATTTGAATTCAGTTGTTAATAGTCTTCCTCCGGCCAATTTGCAGGCGAGCTGCTCCCTCTGCTGAGTTTTCTGTTGATCGTCACCGGCACCTGATGTCCTTCCTCACCATGCTCGGCCCCAGTCCGGACTGGAACGTGGGGCTCTCTGCTGAAGACCTCTGTACCAAGGACTGTGGATGGGTTCAGAAGGTCGTCCAGGATTTAATACCCTGGGATGCTGGCACAGACAGCGGCGTTACCTATGAGGTATGTGGGCTATTTGTAAAATATTCAAAACATAGCATTTACCTTAAAGCAGTGAAGAATGAAAGTGATTTGATCCATGGTAATACCCCTTTATATTTCCCTAGTAAAAATTTTGCTTATAATGAATTAAAACTCGTTTAGACAGGTGCTAGCTACAGTTACTGTCGGTCGCTGTGTCTGAATTCCCTGAGCATTATCATTAATGGGATAATATTACATTCACCTGGGATAGTATTATATTCACCTATTAAATAAACGGACTACTTACTTTGCTCAAAACTAAGCATTAAGGTGTCCAAGCCCTTCAATACAAAACTGTGTGCCATCAGCAGTGCACATCAGCTTGAGCTTTCCTACTGTTTCAACTCAATGCCAACTATTCTGCTTGGCACAGAAAACTTAACCATTCCTGACAGCAGGGATTGAAACTGTAGACTACTCACTACTACAGGATTCTAAAATCATCCATTTTCTCTGTCTCCATCACCCTCTCAGTCTAGGAAGAGATTCATATCATCCTCAGGTAAGGCCCTGGTTTTGACCAAAGGAGTTACATCAAATTACTGAATGGGTTAGGTCTCCGTAGTGATAAGTGTACCTACGCTATCTATCTATACAGACAGTATAGACAGCTGAAGTTAGGCAAGATTAGTCACATCCTAAAATACCACCCATACTCCACATATTCCATATACCACACATATTTTCACATGACAGAAGATGGTTGGGTTTTTTTCCATTCAGACCTGGTCTCTTTAGAACCTAAGGAATTTCTCCAGTTATATGCAGCTCTGGAGGCATACTGAACAGGGTTTTTCATTAATGTAGTTCTCTAACCACACAACAAGGCATACACCTTATTGTGAACCCAGCTTCAGGGTGGAATCCCAAAGTGTTAGAGAAGTGTTTCCTGACACAAAAAAAACCCAACCAAAAACCAAAACCTGACACCTTACCACTAAGTATGAATGTACCAAGTTCATCATCTTATTTTGGAATTTTCCAGTTTAACATTTTGGAGAAGTTTTAATTTCTGCAGATGAATTATACTATTAATAATAATTATTAGTTTCTTTTTTAACATTTTTTTTTTTTTTATTGCTTACAGTCTCCTAACAAGCCTACAGTGCCTCAGGAGAAGATCAGACCACTTACAAGCTTAGATCATCCTCAAAGTCCATTTTATGATCCAGAAGGAGGATCTATCAAGCTGGTAGCCAGAGTTGTCATTGAAAGAATTGCACGCAAGGTATAATACATATATATATATATAAATATAATTCTCAAGCAAGCAAAAAAACCCACTTCATGAACCAAAAACCCAATCCTTCCTGCTGCTCCCCCCCCCCATCTATACTCCTTAACCTAGCCACAACAAAGATAACAGCAGAAAAGAACTAAAACTGTTTCTTAAATTTAAAACTGTCTTAAGGTATTATTTCTCCTACTTCCGGTAATTGCTGTATCTGCTTAATTGGGGATTGTTTTTTAAGTATGCATAGGAATTAGAAGAGAAAAAAAGTGCTGCGGAGGCAGTAGTGCCTGACAGCATACTGTTTTAGCTCCTCTTGCTGCGTACACATATGAGTTTCCTATATCCAATCTCCACAATAATTTCTTTGCAGGGGGAGCAATGCAATATCATACCTGATAACATAGATGACATTGTGGCAGACCTAGCACCAGAGGAAAAAGAAGAAGGTACTTTTTAAATGAGTTTGTGCTGTACTAATTTATATTGTGTTCCATTCTCCACTGTCATTTCTAGATAAAGTACAAAACTGACTTAGGAGCAAAAGTCCCACTCAGTGCCAAAAAGTGATTTAGGTTTTCATCTTTTCTGGTATCTACTATTAGCCTTCCCCTACACAGCAAAGAAGTCGCATGTATACCTGGAAGATGACAATAACAATAAAAGCGATAAGACAAGCCTTTTGGGGGTCAAATAAAAAGATTTATTTTTTTTTTTTTATAAATGAAATTTGGCAATTGGTCTTTTTCTTTTTTTTTCCTTTGGGTTAAAAACAGAGATGATAGATAGAGTGCAGGAGGAAAGAACGTACCCTGCTAGTATCTAAAGTAATCACCAGCCAAATAAAGAGAATCAAATGGAGGACAATCTATTTTTAATGTTCACTGCCTTTTCTTACTTTTTAGATGATACCCCTGAGACCTGCATATATTCAAACTGGTCCCCGTGGTCAGCCTGCAGCTCCTCTACCTGTGAAAAGGGCAAGAGGATGAGGCAGAGAATGCTTAAAGCTCAGTTGGACCTCAGTGTGCCCTGTCCAGATACCCAAGATTTTCAGCCATGCATGGGTCCGGGCTGCAGTGATGAAGGTAATCAAGAGGAAAGGGTGGAGGAGGAGAACACCTTGTAGTGTTTACTTTTCCTTTCAAGTTCTTAAAGCCATTGGTCGCTGTATGACTTGGGTTATGGCAAACAGAAGAATAGTTGCTGAAGAATACAAATTGAAGCTGTCTCCGGTCAACTCTGCAGTTCATCTGAGTTGGTGCATGAAGTATGCAGAGGTATAAAGGAAAGAAGTAAAGTAAGCAATAGAGGAGAGGATAGAACGTGAGAGGCAGCATAAAAGTGATACTGCACACAAAGGGGCAGCTGCAGATTTACCAGCAAGTATGTTCATATTAGCAATTGAAATGGTTCTCTGTATTTTAGATGGTTCCACTTGCATGATGTCTGACTGGATTACGTGGTCCCCCTGTAGTGTTTCCTGTGGGATGGGAACGCGATCTAGAGAGAGATACGTAAAACAATTCCCTGAAGATGGCTCTATGTGCAAAGTGCCTACTGAAGAGACTGAGAAATGCATTGTAAATGAGGAATGTTGTAAGTATTCCATTTAGCTTTGTAAAAGCCAGCCAATAGCAGCAGCACTGCCCCAAACGTTTTTAGTTGTTTTTTTTTAATGAGCTCTACTAGTGAATGATTTTCTCTGTCTGTTTTGAACAGCCCCTAGCAGCTGCCTTGTCACTGAATGGGGAGAGTGGGACGAATGCAGTGCTAGCTGTGGCACGGGGATGAAGAGACGACACAGAATGATCAAGATGACTCCCGCCGATGGATCCATGTGCAAGGCAGAAACTACAGAGGCAGAGAAATGCATGATGCCTGAATGCCGTAAGTGGCCATGAGTTTATCATCTCCTCTGCTACAGAGGTGTCATTTGTGACAGGTTGCTCCATCACACAAAGACCATGGCTAAACCAGAAGCAACGTTGCTTTTTCTTGTTCCCCCTAAAATTACATCCCTTAGGGAACGTGCATTAAATACCATGTTCACCAACAGAATGAGAGTATTAGTAAAAAATATTCAGTGATACACTATTACTGTATGACCCATACAGTGATGTGTGCATTAGGAAGCTACACATAAGCAACTCTAATTTATGGATTATGAGGCATATGCAATCATAAGGCCAGAATAAAACAGCACCCTCTCCTTTTAGCCTATGAACAGTACAGAAATTGAGGTGCTCCTTTTGTGCTGTCTCACACTTGCTGTGAATATTAATATTGCTTTTAATTTCTTAAGAGATGTTAAGATTTTCATTAAAGACAGCAAGAATTACATTTAAAAAGATTCTTGGTAGATGAAATGTGAAAGTATCACATTTTAGACTATTTCAATTTGACTTCCAGTTCTGTCCACTGCAACAATCCAGTATTTTTTACAGGAGTTCGGATTGGAAAATACCTTCTTAAACCATTTATTCCCCAGAAGCACTGGGACTCTGCAGATATGAATCACATATAGAAAAAGATAGCAAAGAAAAGGTATTAAAACCAAGAAAAGCTTTCAATTTAACAGTGTTTTCTGAGCTTCCTCAGCAACATCATTCAGCTTGTGATTCATTTTGTCCAAAGTGACAACAAAGTGTAATTAGTTGATGACAAATAAAACATAGTACATTTTCCACCTGCATTATTTTCAAAATGTATATCTTCGTAATTTATGTATAACAAGAATTCATTATCTTTTTATTTTCATATTAGATACCATTCCCTGTCTACTCTCTCCTTGGTCTGAATGGAGCGACTGCAGCGTAACGTGTGGGAAGGGAATGCGAACCCGGCAAAGGATGCTGAAATCTGCTGCTGAGCTTGGAGACTGCAACGAGGAGCTGGAACAAGCAGAAAAATGCATGCTGCCCGAATGCCGTAAGTGTGGGGAACTCTCTGGAAAGAGGAGGCTGATTATGTGTGTCACAGTCTATGGGTCAAAACTCTATTGCCATTTTTTAACATCACTTCTTAGACAGGAGCAATATCAGCTGTGGATTTTATTATTGTTGTTATCATCATCATCGTGCACTTTCAGGTATTGAGAGCTGGAATATAACCATGTCTTAATTTCAGCTTGCTTTACTTAACCCTAAGCTGATGACCAAGATTGCTTTGGGTATCTGGTTTCTGCATATTTAACACACTACAACTTCAGACAACCATTTGTGCACTTCCTAATAGTAAATAAGTCAGAATTATAAAACCTATTTTTTTACTCAAATGCAGAATGTGTGCTAGGAAGAAAGGGCAGAAGGATTAAAACCACCTATGTTATTCTTTTAGCTCACAGAGCACAAAAGAGGCTTGCTCCATCTTTGATATGTCTCTGAACTGTATCATAGCCTTTTTACTGACCTACATCCCTTTGCAACCTGGAATATCACATGAACCCGTGGATGGTGTCGAGACAGCTGCATTGATATTTTTTTTACCTTACTCCACTAAAATCCCCCACTTCTTGGGTGGTGCAAATTTCTAGTTGCTTTGCAGTCTTTGTGAAGCATGATAGCCTAAGGCGCTGCTGAATGAATAAGATAGATAGATATGATTGCTTTTATTGTCCTGTTGCCAGCTGGTTTATGAGGCTTTATAACTAACTAACTACATTATTTTTCACAAAAAGTATTAGCTAGCTAAAAAGGCTTTTTACTCTGTAATTTGCTAATTGAGCTTTCCTTAAATAATGTGAAATATCATTTTATTATTACTATTCACTGGGGCTGTAAGTTTTAGGCAGTGCTGAAAGATGAAAACTTAAGACATAATGGTATTAGTTTAATTTCCTTATTGCACAACACTACCAGTAAAGCAAGGCTGAGCTCTCGGAGGTATCAGATTCTTTGTAAATATAATTCAATTTTTAACAGCTTTTCATTATAAAACAGACATATGGGTGGGAAAATTGAAGAAGGCACAGGAAAATTATTTATATGTTCTTTGTAATTTTAGTGATCTGCCAGCACCACTCTTGAAAAACAAATTGAGGAAAGTGTCAAATAATAGTTCTGCTAGGAATGGACTCAGAACATTTTGACATGTAGCCTCACAACATTTGCTGAAAAGGCTGGAGGCTTAAGTTGCCTTCATGAATTTAGGATGTAAAAACTCATTAGGCACATCTGTGTGTTTCTTCTTGACCTTATATTTAGATCTCATGGATTTCGTGTAATATTTCTCATTCTTTGCAGCTATCGACTGTGAACTAACAGAGTGGTCCCAGTGGTCCGAATGCAATACCTCATGTGGAAAGGGTCACATGATCAGGACAAGAATGATTAAAATAGAACCACAGTTTGGAGGAACAGCATGCCCAGAAACTGTCCAACGTACAAAATGTCGAGTAAGGAAATGCCTGAGAGGCCCAGGTATGGAAAAAAGGCGCTGGAAAGAGGCCCGGGAGAAAAGGAGAAGTGAACAAGCAAAAAAAAATATAGATAGTGAGCAATATCCAGGTGGGTGTGAAACCATTTTTTAGTATGCTCATGTCTATTTGTGCTTTCTATGTACCAGGAGTTTGTGAGGAGCTC